GCAGGGAGGCGGCCGCCCAGCACACACGAGGGCGCACAGCCCAGCCTGGAGAGCCGGGCTGCGCGACCCCCGGAAGTGAACCCCACGAGGTCAGGGGCGCCGCGCTTGCGCAATTCCGGCTGCGCCGCTGCCGCCCGCGGAGAGGGAGCTCGAGGCGATTGGCGGGGACTCGGAAGCCAGGATCCTCGCGGAGCCGAGAGTCTTGAAGACTAACAGTTCCTTGTCAAAGGCAGCTCTTAGTCGAAAGCTCCTCTCGCCAAAATAAAGGGATCCATCCAAACTGAAGTCCGGAAGAGAAAGGATGGGGGCTACGGGCTGACGCACGGTGCAAGCCGCGCCGTTTGCTTGTCAAGTTCGGCGGACCGCTCCTGTCCGGGCGCCCGAAGCCCGCGGCGGCGTCTGAGAGCCAGTTTTAGGTGTGGCTTGTACGGCCTGAGGAGCGAGAACTTCGAAAATGGGGAAATAGAGGAGCGGGAGTGGAAACAATTAAGCCAGACAGCACGTGGGGAAAAGGGGAAGCGCACCGGACTGGGCACTCCTGGGGTGCGCCTCTGAGCCTCTGATCCCCTCCCGGAGCATCCCAGCGATTCCTTCCAGATGCTAAGTCCTAAGTGCTTTGAAGGTAGACACATGCTTTTTATTTCTTTGGCTTTCCTATAACATTTGGACAATTTTCGCAGGGCTGGGAAGTACGTGCTCAGTTAGTGTTTGTTGTCAAACTGGTAAGTACTCGCTGACTTGTAAGATTAACGAAAGCAGTGATTACAGCCAAGGGATCTATCAGAATCTCACTGTCTGCAAGCCACCGTCTCACCATTTACCGTTCTTGCTTCCAGAAACTTTTTTTTTTTTTTAAGATTTTATTTATTTATTTGACACAGAGAGAGACAGCGAGAGAGGGAACACAAGCAGGGAGGAGTGGGAGAGGGAGAAGCAGGCCTCCCGCGGAGCAGGGAGCCCAATGTAGGACTCGATCCCAGGACCCCGGGATCATGACCTGAGCTGAAGGCAGAGGGTTAACGACTGAGCCACCCAGGCGCCCGCTTCCAGCTAAACTTTTGGAAGTAAGGGGTGCCTTTAAAAGTTTAAACTTTCGTTACTGTATCTTGTACCTCTTTACTCAAAGTGGTGCTATGTATGCATTTAGTCAACTCTCTCTGAGGCTCCTGTCTCCTGCTATCTTTGCTTGGGGATTTGTTTCCACGAGGGAGGAAAGTGAGTGAGGCCTTCAGTCAGTGATCAATTTTTTTTTGCATTGGCTGAAAGAAAGGATGGTTATCTTTGAATAACACCAAGACCTGCAAGTAGCCCTATATTTGGGATATCCTTTTTATGAGCAGTGTTAAAACAATAGGTCTTTTTTAATTTTTTATTTTTTGAGAGAGAGAGCCCGGGGCGGCGGGGGGGGGGAGTGTGGTGCGCAGAGAGAGACTCTTACGATCTCATGACTTTGAGATTATGAAATCAAGAGTGGGATGTTTAACCGACTAAGCCACCCAGGAGCCCCAAAATGGGTCTTTAAAAAAAAAAAAAGTTATGTCAGACAAATATAAACACATGTCAAGGCTTTAATTTAACTCACTAATTAATGAAGTATGTAAGGTGATACATACAGTTGGTTCAGAGATAAATCCAAAAGGCAGACATATATCTAGGCAGTCAAGCATGCTAAAATGAATTTGCTTAATAGATGCAGAGCTGGCTTCTGCAGTGGGGGAGGCAAATCAATTGAACTTTCACCAGGCAAAATTGACTTTATGTCTAATATCTATGGACAAGAATCATTTGCATTGCTTTCAGTTCTCTGCAACCTGTAAAGTTATAAATAGCTTAAAGGAAAGTGAAGACCCCAGGAAACCAGATAACCCCGAAGGGTGAGTCAGACCTCTGGTTGTTCACCGAAGACACCTAACAATCTTTTTGACCCATTTCAAAGTCTTTCCCAAAAAATGAAGAATGGATTCTTCTTAGAGTCCCCACACTTGTTTGTGTTGCCTATGTCCCTTAATCCTCATGTAGCTTGTTTATTGTAACTTTGAAAGTGCACCCCTTGTTGTAGGAAATGGCACAATAAAATCATTCATTAAAATATTTAACAGGAGGGCGCCTGGGTGGCTCAGTCGGTTAAGCGACTGCCTTCGGCTCAGGTCATGATCCTGGAGTCCCGGGATCGAGTCCCGCATCGGGCTCCCTGCCCAGCGGGGAGTCTGCTTCTCCCTCTGACCCTCCTCCCTCTCGTGCTCTCTCTCATTCTCTCTCGCAAATAAATAAATAAAATCTTTAAAAAAAAAAATATTTAACAGGAAAAGCAAAGGTTGACAAAAACAATTCTGTTATCGAGGGTTTTCATCTCTTTCTCAACAGAATTGGTATGTTTTTTAAAAAGGCCTTCTGCAACGTGAATCCCTGTGGATAAAAAAAAAAAAAAAAAAGCCTTCTGCAAGTCATTTCCCCTCTCCAAGCCTCAGCTTTTGTTTTTTGTTTTTTTTATCTCTAAAATATGAGATTAGATTTGATTTCTAAGGTTTCTTCCTGTTTTAAGAGTGTGGTTCAACTCAGAGGTGGTTTTTTTTTTTTTTTTTTTTAACCCTCTCCCTGATTTCACTGAGGCCCTGGGAGCAGAAAACCTTATATCTCCCATCCCCTTTGCAGGGATGGGAAACATCCCATATCCAGGGTTAGTTCTGTTTATCCATCAGGAGCTGGTTTCCAGCTTACCACTCATCCCAGGAAGCAGCCCTTTTAAAGCAGACGCTCTATTCAAACATGGGAAAAGATGCTCAGGCTCATTCAGAGTAAAAGGGAGGAATGCAAATTTGAAGTACAAGGAGATGCCATTTTTCACTTAGTAGGTTGGCAAAGCTGAAAGTTTGGTAATACTTGGTATTGGCACACAGACTCAACTGATGCAACTGTAAATTTGTTCATCTCTTTGCAGAGCAAAATAGCAACATGAACCACAAAAAAATGTAAGTGTGCATGCCCTTTGCCCCAGCAATCCCCCTTAGGAATTTATCCTCCAGATAGACTTACCCACGTGCATGCAGCTTTTTGCACTTGCGTACATATGGTAGCATGCTGTAGAAGCAAAAAACTGGCAACATCCCGTAGGCCTGTGAATATATTCGTAAAATATGTTGTACACACACAAGGGAATCCTGCGCTGTACAACTGGGAAAAAAAAAATGAGGCCGATTTTCATGAATTCAAATGTCTGGTCTTCAAGGTATATATCAGGTCTACTGTGTCAAACTGTGTGTATTCTTGTGTAAGAAAGCAGAGTGGGGAGATATACATGTTTATATGTACATAGAATATCCCTGGACAGATATACATGAAATGGGTCTGTAACTTGTTAATTTTTTCAACCATGTATTTATTTTTAAATACATATAAATATAACGAATAAGACAGCACACCAATTGGCAGAATACTCAAACAGGTACTTCACAGAAGAGACTCTCCAAAACATGAAAAAGCGTTCTTTTTCATTAGTCATCAGGGAAATGCAAACTTAAACCACAATGAAATATTTACACACCCACCAGAATAGCTAAAATGAAAAAGCACCAAACATTGGCAAGCATCGGCAGGAACTAGAACTTCCATACACCGCTGGTGGGAACCGTTAGGAGTGTCTGCTGAAGCCGAGCATACACGAACCTATGTTCACCAAAGGAGTGTTCACAAAGCACTGTCCACAGTTGCTCCAAACTGGAAATGTCCATGACCAACAGAAGGAATAAATCGTGTATATTCATACAATGAACTGCTCCACACAGAAATCAACTTCTCAAATACGTGTTGGGTTAAAGAAGCAAGACGTAAGAGTGTACATACTATATGATTCCATTAAAAGGTCCAAAATGGGGCAAAACTGATGTTTGGTATAGGAAGAGAGGGCAGGGCAGTGGTGACCATTGTGGCAATAATACTTCATCTCTTGATCTGGGTGCTTTTTGTATGGGTGCCCACTTGGGGTCAATTCATCCAGCTCTGTACACTTAGGGTTTGTGTGCTCGATTTCAAGTAAACAGTGGGAGGGAAAGAGAAAGAGAGACGCTTCCAAAGGTTGTACAGTGGAAAACCTGAGGTTTCTTCCGGAAGGGTGTTTGGGTTGTTCCTTATTTTTTACCATGGACTTTGTGGTGGTGAATGCAATGGCCAGAATAGGGAAGCGAGAAGGCCAACTCTCCACAGCTCATGGTGTTGGACACGGTCCAGGGAGTCTGAAGGACCCAAAGTGGTATGATGTGTCCTAATTCCTCACACAGGGCCGCCTCGCCTCCAGCTGTGGGTAAAGCCTGCTGGGGTACCATGGCCATGCTTGGTGGGGAAGGTGTATGGCTAGTGGACGTGTGTGGAGCGCTCACTGAGTGCCACGCTCTGGCCTTGGCACTCTGTGTTGCCTCCATAGCTCTTTCATGCCCTTCAGGAACTTTACTCAGTGGCATCTTCCTCCCTGGAACCCTATCTAAAGTTTCCCCCTCCCTCCCATCCCAGTAGCATCTCACTCCCCCTCCCTGCTTTGCTCCTTGTCCGCTTTATTTATCATATGTCTTTCACTTAGTTACTCCGTTGTGCATCCCTGGCTATCATGCAAGCCTCGTGAAAGGCGGGCAGTTTTCTTGTTGCTCTTGTCCACTAGTGCTTCCCCAGCTCCTATCAACCGATAAATATGCATTGAATGAGTGAGTGAACACACTATGGGAGGCCCCTTTCATAGATGAGGAAACAGGCTCAATGAGGTCAAGCACTGTGCTCAAGGTCACACAGCTAGGAGAGGAGAGCCAGGAATCAGACACAGATCTGTCTTCTTTGCTGCTGTCACACCCATAAACTCACTTTGTCCTCACAGCCCTATGAAGCTGGTGTGATCCCTTTGTACAGCTAAGGAAACTGAGGCTCAGAGTGAAGTGATTGCCCAACAGAAGCAGAAAGCACAGCTGGCTTGCAGACCTCTTTCTGTCTGCCTGTGAAGATCCTGTTCTTTATACTGTACCAGACTCCTTCTCTAAGGAGCCAGAGGCCAGGCTGTATACGGATGCAGCTCTATACCAGGCCCTGATGGCTTGCTTGCACCTGCTGCCAAAGTTCCCATCACCAAGTCTCCTGGAAGCAAGGCCCTGCCCATGGGTGCTCATCTTCTTGTCTCCTCCTCCCCAGATCCTTTTCTTAAACTCATGTTGGTTTTTTCAACAAACATTTAACGATCTACTCTGTACTTGGTGCTGCAGACACATGAGTAAGCAAAACCAGCCAGTCCCTGCCTGTTACGGAGCACAGAGACTAAGTGAACAAGTAAATAAGTGCACAATTACAAACAGGGGTGTTCCTATAAGGGAAAAGGACATCATGTGGTGAAAGGGTCTACCTGGGAATCTGGCCTGGCCTCGGGGGTCACATGGCTTCCTTTTGGGTGTGATAGGTGAAGGACATGTGGGTATTTGATAAGCAAAGGAGTGCAGGGGATGGAGGTATAGGGTTCAGGCAAAAGGGTAGGTGGGAAGGCCTTACAGAAGAAAGCAGCATGGATCGCTGGAAGTTGTGGAGGGCGAGCGGGGAGTGAGGAGACCGGGCTGCAAAGTTTGGGAGGGCCAGGCCATGCACGGCCCCAACAACCAGAAGGGTTCTGGCTTCATCTGAGGAGCAGTAAGAAGCCACTGAAGGATTTGGTCACATTTGTGGTTTCTAAAGGTGACTTTAGCTGCTTTGTCGGGAACAAAACTGGAGAAGGGCAAGGACAGATGCAAGATACATATCGACTGAGCCATTGAATTAGAGCACTCAGCATTTTGCAGTCAGCCTAGCATTATCATTACTGGATGCTAAACCACCAGGTGAAAGTTCATTGGAAAAAGAGGATATTTAAATAGTCTAAAAGTACCTTTCCCAAAGATGACTATTATTTTTTTTAAAGATTTTATTTATTTGACAGAGAGAGACACAGCGAGAGAGGGAACACAAGCAGGGGGAGAGGCAGAGGGAGAAGCAGGCTCCCCGCTGAGCAGGGAGCCCGATATGGGGCTCGATCCCAGGACCCTGGGACCATGACCTGAGCCGAAGGCAGACACTTAACGACTGAGCCACCCAGGCGCCCCCAGATGACTAATAATTGACAAGGGGGAAAAAGAATACCGTTACAGTAGAGAAATACGTCACCATCTCAACCATCGGTCAACAGCATCAGCAATAGTGAGACAAACGGACGCTTGTGCTTCCTGATCCGATGCCCTGAGGACACATCCGTGCTGCTGCTGGCCACACTGTGCTACCTGACTATGCGGGGCAGGCAGAAAAACCTACACCAGAGACATCCTACAAAACAACCAGCCTGCGCTTGAAATACGCATCCGTGCCCGGAAGGACACACAAAAGCCAGAAACCATTCCAGCTTAAAGGGGTCTCCTTTTGAAGATGGAGGAAGACTCCCCCCCCCCTCCGCCCCCAGGCAAGGGGTGCTGGAGGCCCCCAGAAGCTGGAAAGGCAAGGAGGCCATCCTCCCCCAGGGCCTCCAGAAGGAATGCAGCCCTGCTGATACCTCAATTTTAGAACTTGACCTCCAGAGCTGTAAGATAGTAAGATAGTATTGTTTGAAGCCACATTTGTGGCAATATGTTACAAAGGGGGAGAGGAAAATAGGCATGGTGGGCAACCAGAAGCCGAAGTGATGCTAAGTCACGTCGCCTGGTTGATCTCGTAGAATTGTTTTTTGGAGCCATCCTCTAGTCAAAGTATTTTTGAGTATTGACTTTGCCATCCAATAAATTTACTATTTCTCCCACCCTTTCTTCATGACCTTTATACAGTATCAGGAGATACCTAAGCAAATGCTTTGTCCTGGATATCTCTTGCATTCCCCCATCTGCCCAGCATATATCTTCTTTCTCAGTTCCCTGTGGCGACCCACTCTCCCCGTGCTCTTCACGCAGGGAGCCGGGTGGGGCTGATCCTCACTCCTGTCCAGGTATGGCCAATCCAATTATCCCAACAAACTGGCCTTAAGAGATTGGCTTAAGGGGATGAGCACACGCCCAGTGTTGGTCCATTGAGATCAAATCCTAGGACTTTTGTTGGAAATACTGAGGGACAGAGTCCTTTGTCCCCCTGGGGTTGCTAAGTTGAAAGGACATATGCCTGTTGCTCCTGGAGACCACCTTATAAAAAAGGCCCTAGTCCTAGAATGAAGCCAGCTTAGAGGGAGACTGTCAAGTAGGGAAGAGGGACTGAGTTCTGATGACATCCCTGGCACCCCTGGATCCCGCTGAGCCAACCCCTGAATTTAGGGGAGTTACATGAGCCAATATATTCCTTTTTTTTTTTTTTGAAAAACCAGTTTGAATTGAGTTCTATCACCTATAGCCGAAAGAATCCCGGTAAATACACCTCCCTGGCCCAAATACACTATTTCTATCCTATTTCCTGACTTAGCAGTCTATCCACTTCACAACAGAAATATGGTTAACCTAGCAATGACCTGATCTTTGTCATCGATGCTTCCTCTTCTGAGGAGTCACAAATATTTTTTGTGAGTGATCTGTGCTGAATATTTCCCACGCCCAATGTCCAGTTCACTGGCCTGTGGTTTGCAAAACTCTCTTCCCCACCCTTTTTTTTTTTCACTGGCCATGTATCTGCCTCTCTCCAACCTTCTGGCAAGGTCAGAACACCTTTTCCGAGGCATGGAGAGGCAGGGTTCATAGGAATCTCTTGAGAAATGATACTTTCCCCAAATGGGATCTGACCCTGAATGAGTTCACATTTTCCAGTTTTCCTGAATAGTTATCACCAGAGTCAGGTCAGGGCTGCTTGAGTCCTTGCCTCACGCCGTGTTCACTCATTGAACTAGGTGAGGAGTTCCTCCAGCCACAGATACAATCCTGTTCCCATAAAGTCCAGTAGATGGGCTCGTATTCTGCTGGAGGCACAAACAACATGCCCACCTATTTGTAGTATCCACTTAAGGGAA